CACATTAACATTTATATGATTATGTGAGTTTTTTTTGCCATGGTATTTTTTGTATGCAAAAACATCACAGGAAAAACATCACATGGTCATATATATCTGCCGGATAACAGGCATACGACAAATAGGAAATTTTTCATCAGAATTTAATGTCACCCCATGTGCTGCTATGCAGTACATGGGTGCTGATGAAAAATATTTCTTATTTTTTTTTCCATCGTCTGCCCAATATTGTATATATCACAGAATAAGCACAATCCGCACATATGTATAAAATGCTACAGTCTTTTTTATTTTTTTTTTAATAATAATTAATTCTAATGATGTATATATTAAATAGATTTATTTTAAAAAATCCATTATAAAAATTATTAATAAAAAATATATATTTACAAATAAATTACTTTATTATTTTAATTGTATTATAGCTTATACTCAAATATTAAAAAATTGTTAGCAATAATATATTTTATTTCTTTTTTTTAGTATAGAATATAAGTATAATTTTTTAAAGCAAAATTTAATTAAGACTAAGCTGCGCAATACTTTGAATATTAATATACTACTATATATATTTATAATAATAAAAAAAAAAAAAACTATATAAAAAAGAATTTAATTTTTATATATATTAAAAATTTGATATAGTGTAGAAAAAAAGTTTATAATATTTATTTATTAAATAAATCAAAATTTTTACTTAGTAATTTGTAAAAATAAAGTAAAAAGTTACTACTAACGTATTTTCGCGAAATAACACGCAGGGGCATAATTTCAAAATTTGGCTCAGATTAAGTTTAATTCGAGCCATTATTTTAAATAACGCACATGAACGTTATTACGCGAAATTACGGTATATTTTTACTTATTTATTTATGTTTAAAAATATTTATTGGTCCTAGTAACATGAAACTTTTTTAAATAGACCCGGCAGGCCGGCTTGTTTTTTTTAATTTTACATATAGCAATTTATAAAATTTTTTATAGCTGTTTCATTATTTTTGGGACATCTGAAAATTTTTTTGATGGCCGAATCTATAAGTTGCCGAGTTGGAATCAATGTTGGCCAACATCAAATACTTATCGATTCGGTCATCATCAATTTTTCAAATATCCCCAAAATAATGTAAACAGCTGTAAAAAACTTTTTACAGCTGTTTTCATAAATTCTGGAACAACCGATTTGTCACTCGATCATATTATACATCAAACACTCCATCAAACGCAAACTACGGAGTACACATATGGAATATCGCCTCGCTGCTCACGCGGTCAACAGCTGTTTCCTCTTTGATATCCGATCTGTTCGATCGGGCTATCAAAGCAACTATCTTCGATATCCGGGTTGTCCACCCGGGCTATCGTCCTACCGACAACTACTAAACCTCACACACACAAAAAACTCTCCCTCCGCCTGGTGGCGGGTGGGTGGGTACTAACAACAAAGCTAGACTTTCGTCGAGCTAGCAGCAAAGACAAAAGAGGAAGAACTACTTCCGATCCAAAAGCCCTTAAATAGTCACTTACTATGACCTCATACTTACCATCACTTATTCTATCAAACTCGATCTCATCACTCAAAGCATCATTACTTACTAATCGGTCATCTCATCAATACATCATTACTTACTAATCACCCATTTGACGTCATGGTCTGGGTCGTGACATGATCTCATGACAAATGG